AAAAAATGTATAGTAATTTTATCCTTTAATTATTCAATACATTTCTTAAGTTTTTATGGCCTCAACAATTTTTTAAGCAAATAGTAACGCCAACAAATACTCGGCAACACTCACCCTATTCTTTCTACCTTCAATGATCAAATGAATACTCATTTTTTAAATTATTAATATTATCAGTTAGTCAATCTATGATCGAAAATATTTTCTTCTTCCTTAATTTGTTTTGGAAGTTTCAAAATTGAAGTCAAATTTTTATTTTATTTTGAAACATAATATATAAAATATCAATTATTTACTTTTCATAGATTTTTATTTACGCACGTGATCATTTTCTAGTATACATATATACTCTTGAAAATGGCTGGCTGTTGTTTATCTACCACGGAAAATGTAAGAAATTCATTTTATAATTTGAATAGTAAGAAATTCTCAAAATATATTTACAAAATGTTGGTAACTTGGCAACAATATTATGCCAGTAAACATTGCTTATTCATTGAATTCCAACAAAAAAATAAAAAAATAATATATATAGGACAATGCTTAGCTACTCATCGGTGAGTAGCTTCACCCTACTTACCCCTTAGGTGTTTCAATAACAAAATAACACACATCAGTTTTAATAAAAAAAAATCAGCAAAATAATAAAAAAGAAGAAGAAGAAAGTAGGATCGACCCGTTTTAATTGGGCAATCACCCTTTCTCTTTTCTCTCTCCTCTTTCATTGAATCCCAACTAGGGGTGTTCAAAAAATCCGGTAAACCGAAAAATTGGACTGGACCATACTGAATTGGGTGGTTTGGACTAGTTGTATAGCGGTTTAATCTGATCCTGGGCCCAAAATTATGGAACCGTAATTTTTCAGTCCGGTCCTGGTTTAGGGTCGTGCTGGACCGGACCAGCCCGGACCAAACCGTTACTATATTATAATATAAATAAATAAATAAATAAATAAATATATATATATATATATATATATATATATATATATATATATATATATATCATAAACCTAAATCGAGTAAAGTTCTCACTTGCCCCTTTCTTTCTTTTGTTCTTTAAATTTCTTAATTTCTTTTTAAAAAGGGTAAAGTATCCTAACTCCCCCTGAGATTTGCAAAAAGGACACACAGATGAAACTTAGCTTGTTTCGGGACAAAGACACCCCCTTGTTATATTTGACAGCCAAACAGACCCTAAAAACATGTGAAAAGTCTAATTTGCTCTACATTATTTGATTAATTTTAATAGTAAAATATCAAAAATAATTAAATGACCTAATTGCCCTTCTCCTTTCTATCTCTATACACTGATATAACATATATATATATATATATATATATATATATATATATGTATTACTCGTAACCGTGAAATTGTCCGGCAAGGCTCTGCTAGGCAGTGATGAACCCACTCATTATGGAGCCGTGGAGGTGATTTGCTTGGCGGTGATGAACCCACCCATGGTGGAGATGCTCTGCTCAACAGCAACAAAAATTATTACGCGCGTGTGTGTATATATATATATATATATATACATAATTTTGTTGCAATGTCCAAATACCAAGTACTGTCTCGATCCACAACCAGAGAGCAGAGAGTTCACGGCGACGCAAGGATTATGTTGGTGAGGAACGACAGTGAATAGCTCGGTCGTGGATAGTTCCTTTATGGAGATGGTGGCATGGGCTGGTAAGCAAAGAGGGTTCAGACGGTGAAGAGCTCAGCTAATGAGATGGCGGCATGGGTCGGTGAGCAAGGAGGCTTCGGACGGTGGTGTGAACTTAGCCGCGATGGGGTGGTTTGCGACGTGATCGGCCGGTGGAGGTAGGGGTGCACACAGTTCCGGTTCTCACAGTTCCGGTCGTAACCGGAACCGGAACCGTTCATGACGGTTCCTTGAAAATGGAACTGGAACCGGAACCGTATAATATGGAACCGGAACCGAAACCGAACCGTAGAACCGGTTCGGTTCCACCAGAACTGTTAACTGTTTGGTTTTTGTGTGTGTGTAAATTAAGATACAATAACAGAAATCAATATTACTTTATGCACGGTAGAGAAACTACACATGTGGGCATCTCAAAGATGAAACTGAACACCATCACATGCGGCACTCGGATAAATTGAGTATATCAGTATAATAAACTCTAACTAAGTCTAATTTATCTCAAAAAAAAAAAGAAAAAAAAAAAATACAAAAGACTTGTTGGGCTGAAATTGTATGCTGATCGAACAACCATTTCCTTCTTCAACCATCATCATTTACCTAGTAAATCAATTCCAAACCTATACCAGATTTTTCAAAGAGAGTAAAAAATAAAATTAAATTAAGAGAGATGACAGAAGTCAGTGCTTTGGATTCTCTCTTGGAGAAGACGATGCAGTTTAATAAACAGCACGATGAATTGATTAGCTTGAGATGAGACTTGAGACTTGGGAAGAGGCAAGGGCAATGAGGATTGAGGAGATGAGAGGAAGCGACTCAGGCGAGGGCGATGAGAGGTGAGGGGAGGCGACGATGTTGAGGCGAGGCAGCGAATAGAGATGAGTCAAGGACTGATCACTGATGAAGCGACTTAGGCGAGGCGAGGCGAGACGGCCGCTTCGATCAATTTTCAGAACAGACCAAAAGTTGGGATGAGAGTTGAGATTTGAGATATTAGATCTAGGTTTAGAATTTAGATAAGAGACTTGAGATTTGAGTTTTTGTGGACCACCACGTGTCATGTAATGATTCTTGACTCATCTAAGTCATCCATTTGTCAACACATAGCTACAAATATTTGTCTATACAATTGTGGAATACATATAATTATATATATAATTATATATATATATATATATATATACGGTTCCGGTTCCTGACGGTTCCCACGGTTTGGAACTGGAACCGGAACCGTAACTCACGGTTCCAAAATTTCGGAACCGGAATCGGAACCATGAGAACCGGAAAAAACGGTTCCGGTTCCGGTTCCACGGTTCCGGTTCTTTTGTGCACCCCTAGGTGGAGGGCTCAGTCGTGATGGTCTGACAGGCGATGGAGGGGTCAGTTATGGAGAGGTCGGCCGGTGAGGGGAATAGCCGGCAAGCTTGGAATTGAATCGGCAATGCTTATAATGGTTATGCTCGGCGGTGAAATGGCGGCAGCGGCGGTGGACAGGTTCGGTTGTGAGCTTGCGGCTTTGGATGATGGCGGCCGGCGGGACGGTGATGGGCTCGGTACGGCTATGGAGAAGTCGGCTAACTCGGCCGTGAATAACTCGCGGCGGTGAGGTTGCGGCTTCTCTCGGAACGGCGAGGTTGGCTGAGAGGAGCGACTATAGCAGTGGGTGACGGGCTGTGGAGAAGAGTTTGATATATCTATAAAGGTGCAAAAATTATTATATTACCTTAAAAAACAAAAATCATGTGTTTAAGATGAAGAAGATAGGAGAAGGAAGGATTGGTTTGTGAGTAGAGGTTAGAAATGTAATTTCAACCTTCAAATTGGTTAATATAAAGGTCAAAGGGCAAAAATGTCAATTCATTACCATTGGGGCGTCTTTGGTATTTGTATCAAACTTGAGAGGGTGCCTTTGTCCCAAAATAGGCTAAGTTTCATCTGTGTATCATTTTGACAAACTTTAGGAGGGTGTTAGTGTACTCTACCTTTTTAAAAAAGTCAAATTTCTCTTTTCAAATATATCTCAATTTTCTTTACTTTCGAATATATTTCAATTTTTTTTTCTTTATTTCTTCTTAAATTATTATTATTATTATTTTTTTGCGTATTATATCAATATTAGTTGATTTTTTTTTTTTAACTTTGCCCCCTCTAAATTAAAATAAAATAAAAAGAAAATCAACTGAATCCGACAAACCGAACCGAACTAAATCGATTTTTCACGATTTGGTTTGGTTTGGTTCCATAGACATTATGGTTCGGTCTGGTTTTAAAAATAATGAAACCGTTATAAATGGTTTGGTTCCAAGATACTCCCAATCCGAACCAAATCGGATCGTGTGCACCCCGAATCCCAACCCATGCCCTCCTCTCTCTCCACTCTTGTTGTTGTTGTTGTTGTTGTTGTTCACCCTTTCTCTTCTTTTCTTTTTTTCTCTTTTTTTTCATCACTTCACAAAATTAATTGTCAAAATTGCTGGTGATGTTGCAATTTCACGGCAGGGGATTTGTGAGTGAGAGCAATGATTCGGTGGCGAACAACTTCTCCCTGTAGGCGGATAGCAAAATTGGGTTATGTTATTGTTCTTGGCAAATCAAATGAAAAGTCATCTAATCCTTATTCTGACACCGAAGATCATAACTCACACCAAGGAACCTCAAAGCAAATGACCAAGTTTGCTTTACGAGTTAGATCCCCAAAGGAAGAGAAGAAGAGGTATAAGCTTGCGCTGGAGAATCGGTATCCGACAGCCTTTGAAGATGGGTTTAAGGTGTTGCATTGGTTGACAAAGCAAGTATATATATATCTATATATATATATATATATTATGAATATATATAGGAATTATCTTCTAATGGCTAGGGTTTATACAGATCGGAGAAACTGTTGTGGTGATTGAGTGGGTGCAGAAGATTGCACAATAAATCAATGCCACAAGTGATTTTGATTGATTCTTTAGGGTTAAAGTTGGACTCAATGTAGCCACAATATCACAAGGTCTGTTGTCTTATTTCGGTCCTTTTTTTTTTACACTTCTATAAACAGATTTAAGCTATTCTTTTGCTCTTCTGGTTTGGTTTAATTTTGTTCTTTTAGTTTGGTTTAATTTTGTCAATTAATTTTGTATAGAGAGGAGGGCCTAGGATTCAATGAAAGAGGAGAGAGAAAAGAAAAAGGATGTTTACCTAATTAAAATGGATCAATCCGACTTTTTTTTATTTTTTATTTTTTTATTTTTTTTCATTATTTTGCTGATTTTTTTTTATTATTAAAATTAATGTGTTATTTTACTATTGAAACACCTGAGGAGCGAGTAACAGTAACAAGGCGCTGTCCCCTTTGAAATATGATAACTCTTATGATATTCTCCACGACCATATATGAACATCCTGTGTGAGTAGCTACGCATTGTCCCCTGCGAAATATGATAACTCTTATAATATTCTGATAACTCTTATAATATTCTCCACGACCATATATGAGCATTCTGTGCCTTCTGTTTTCTTTCAATAATAAAATACAGCAAACTCTTCCAACCAATTTGGGTATCAAACCTTGTTCATTTCTAGCTAATAAACTCATCGTCAGTAGCCTTATGGTACTACAATTAAAAAAATCCCAAGCCACTTCACCACAAACGCACAACGATAAGGAGGAGAGAGTCCACGACCAACGTCAAAAACTGTAGTGTGATTTTTCCACACGAAGAGTGGGAAAATTCCCCTATATATCTGGATCAACCTTCAAAATGTTCAGACCAGGAGCTGTACAATCTTTATATCGCCTGCTTAAAACCGGTCCGATATCACTCTTATCCTATAATTGTCTGTGGCAATATGCAATGGCAATCAAGTGACTGAAGCAACCAGAACATATGTTTTGCGAAATAAAGTTCAGTATATTATCTCTTCTTCCATCAGAGAGCTTTCAGATCAGTTCCTAGTCATCAAACACCAGCGGAGATAAACCAGAACCAAACCTAAGATGTTCCTCCCTTTGGCCACCTTCTGCCAATCTAGAATCATTCCGTTGGAGTTGGTTTTTAATCCATGGAGGATCATCGTATCTGAGCCAGAGTGCTTCACCAGTATACTTGTGCTTAAAATCTGGATGATTTGGATTTTCCTCTCTTTTTTTTCTGCAATCGCGCCACTCATATGGGTTGGCGAAGAACAATTGCCACAAATAAAGGCGTTTTCTGTGTTTCTCATCAGCGGTTTCAACTGAATCTGCAAAGATTGGAACGTAGGTAAACATTACAAAAATAAATAGAAATATAAAATTATAAATATAAAAGTAGAGAAGTTACAAATCATCCCATACTATCAGACCATGGCCTGACTAAACAAAGATCTAACCAATTGTAGACCAACTTCAATTGACTCAGGTTGGACAAGGCCAATTCAGGTAGGTAATGTTAAATTTTTAGTAATTCTTTTTCCTTTCTATTTTCTTCCCAAATACCAATGAGCTGTTAATGACTAATCTTATAGTTCACAATCTCACACTAGCCAAGAGCCACACCCAACAGCACTTTTGCCCTATACACCTCTTTGCCAAGTAACGATCGGTATAGATGCTCCTACACAGGAATTATATAATGGTAGTCTTACTGAAAGCCTTGTCAAGGTTGCTTTTGGCTCTGCTACAAAGACTTCTTTTGGGACAATCTCTCCTTTCAAAGCCACATCTTCAATTCATTGACGATTATTCAAATGTTTCCGGACCATTTCAAGCAAAAATCTACTAAGACTACTATGTTTCCAGCACATTTCAGAAAAAACAGAATAGAAAGGGTAGATAGGGGAAGAGAGAAACTCTTCATAACATATACTCCAGCAAATAAAGATATGAATTATACCTCTCGTTTTGGATTGCTCAGGTTTCTGGCAAGTTGGGCTTTGAATTATACCTCTCATTTCAGATAGCTCAGATTTCTGGCAAGTTCTGCTTTTACCATAATGTGCAACAAAATTTAATTCTTTCACAGTTACCTACATAGAACAAATAAAATGTATATACGTAAATAATCAGTTACTAACACCCACATACTCATGTATGTATGGTCTACTGGAGCCATTTCTTACTGTTTTACACTTCATATGTTATATTATATATCCACTAGAATGACTCATCTAATATTAATTGAAATAAATCTATTACCATTCAGAAACTGTTCAAAACCTCAAATGATACCCACTATTAGGTGATGAATAAATCAAGCAAAACAAAATTTTCAAATCAAAAGGCTCAAATAGATGTCATATAAAAACCAAACAAACATAAGCTATACACACAAATGCACTTGAGTGAGTGCACAGACAGGCAAGGTAACACCATCGACAATATAACATGCTCTGGTCGTGAATTGTCTTCAAAATCAACCTAAGAAGCACAGAAATTTACAAGAAGGAACATAAAGGTACTACACTTTTAGTACACTCCCATACACATGTTTGACCAATCTTATACATATTCTAATTTGTGTTGGACATCGCACTTTTAGGACAGTCTCCCACAAACATGGTTGATCAAGCTTAAGACATATTCATACTTAATAGACCAATACCAAAACAAGGAAGGATGGAACTTAGGTGGGTCAAGCCTAATCCAACTGGCATCAAAACCACCCTAATCTTTCAACAGACTTGAACAGTTTTTTTGTTGCTCAAGTTGAGCTTGGGTTGAAAACTTCAACTGGAGCTCAATTCAAGTTAAATTTAGGTAAAAGACTTGGGCAGCCTAAGCCCTAACCGAACCCGAGCTATATTATCATGATCAATAGTACTATTGTTAAACTATTGGGAGCTCAAGCTTAACCTATTCACAGCATAATCCAACAAACCTGAGCCTAACCCTAACCCAGGTGTAGAAAAATAAACTTGATTTGGGTTCACTGGGTTAAATATTGGGTTCAACTTTGGCTTGACTAGGGTGTTTGTGAGGTTGAAAATTGGGTTCTGGCTGGGGTTGAGAGTTTTATGCCTCAGGTTGATATTGGATTAAGCCATCAACCGCCCAACTTGGCAGAGTAGCACCAATGCAAAAATGTGGCTGGCAAAACCTACATTTTAAAAGTAATAGACAATAAGGAATCGTAAAAAGGAGTGAGCAAGGGAGGAAAAAAAGATTCATTACCACTACGTGTACACACACACACACACATATATCAAGATACACATGCATATTTGTATATGTTGTCTTCTTGTTTTTGTTTTTGTCTGCACAACACAGGTTGATTAATACTCTAAAAGAAAAAAAATAATACTGCCAAAAGATAGATATGTCTCAACACTTTCTCCCCTAGCATCCCTGTTCTCAAATGGGTTCAGAGAAGGAAAAGAAAAAGGGACATCCTATTTCATCTTTGGTAGGTCAAAGATCATGCCATACAATGGGAGATGCCACCCAAAAGTAAAAGGATATGTCCAAGGATTTAAGTTCTACAGAGAAGGATCCACTTCTACACCTTTTATATGAGTGGAAAACAATTTTCTGAACAAATATAGCAATGCTAACCTGGTAATATGTTTCGAGCTTTCCGTTTATGTCAACCTTTGTATATGATCCTAAACGACCAGAAACATAAATGAAATCATTTGGTTTCAGATGTCTGATAGATATTTCTGCCATCTCATCCCACATATTCAGTAAAATCCTGTTCATAAAATTGAAGGATGTAAGTGGCCAGCAGCTTATGTAGCTTCATAAGCCACAAAACTCTAGATAGAAACTTATACAAGCACACAAACAATAGCAAAAAAAATTATAGTGTTTTCAAGTATGAGAAGAAAATACTTAAAAGAAAGCAAGCAACAAATGATTTTTACCACGGAAATGCAAATCGTAGTGAGGAATGAGTATGAGATGAGGGCGCAAAACATATGTATTGAGAATGCAAAATATACAAGTCTAGGAAACAAAAGTATTAAGCAGATCAAAGTTAGATCGACGTTAATAAGGCGTGCATATTATCTTAGAATCCATTTATTTTCCTACTTCCTTCAGAGTTAAGACTTATATCTAGCTTTTCAAAACACTTTGCAAAAGCATTGCGGAGAGGCACTAGGACACTCAGACCATTCATCAGTTCATTGTGTCATACATGTCATTTTAGTTATCCAAATTGGAGTCATTGCTGCAGTCACAGCACAATCACATACCCTTTGTCATAAATTTTAAGACAAAAGGAACTTGAAGGTTATATAGTAGCATCGTCAATCTTTTGCAGGTTAAGCGTAACATATAGATTCTTCTGATTGTAACAAGTGAGAGGGACTTATTCACTACTCAAAGGAATATATATATATATATATATATATATATATATATATATATTTCAACAAGTGTTCCAAGAATTCATAAATTAAAAAAATGAAATAAAAATACTCCTATACTACAGCAATCCAAAATCGAAAAACCCAAAATTTATGACTATGAAATCACAATCATTATATGCTACAGATGTGCAAATACAAATATATATATATATATATATATAGTGAGAGAGAAGATTAAATGAGGTCTCACTCGAACGATCGATTTGAGTCGGGGGAGGTTTTGACGGTAAGCCAAGTATATGTGCCAGAATCGCCATATTGACAATCTGACTCACGGAGACGATCGATTGTTCCGATGAAGCTAACAGAATTGTGTAACTGTTGTATATATTTGGGCCAACGGCTTGGACGATCCGGGTATTCGAGGACTTCGAGGGCTTTACGGTAGCGATTTTGCCAATTGATAGTGGATGGAGGCTTGAATTTGAGGGCGTGACGGTAGATTGAACTACCTCCTTCGGGATCGTCGGAGAAGGAGCTCCTTGCCCTAGCCCTCGCGGTGGACGAGGACGAAGAGAAACGCCGGAATTTCTGGAGAGAAAACCAAACCACGTCTCTGGATAGGGCACGGGCACGGACACGTAATGCCTCCATAGACCACCGCGTTTGGTTGCCGGAACAAATCACCAGCTAGTATTTCTCACGACACCCCTCCATGGACCACCGCGCGTGGTTGCCGGAACTAATCCACTAGATTTTCACTTTTTCTCTGCAGTAGTTGATGTTATTGAAAATATATCAGGTCTTGTCTAATGTTTTCAGTTTGGGCTCCTAGATTTTTGGTAATAGGCCGGCCCATCTTCTTTGTCAATGGGCTCTTGGCCCACATGGCTTCTTGAAGTCTTGGATTTAGATTTTTCTGTCCCACTATTGGTCCCGCCAATTATCATTTCAAAAAATTATTACTCTTAAATGTGAATTACAGTTTTCAAGATGGACATCTACTTTAAGACGGAAGTAGTATATTACAACTATTAGTCTCGGCCAATTACTATTTGATACCTAAGCTTAAGTGTCACCTAAGCTTAAGTGTCAAATGGTAATTGACCGCGATCAAACTTTGGCACAACTTAGCACAAGACTGTCAATTCATTCACTGTAATTCATTCATTGATTAAACTCGGAAAATGAGCATTATTCAATAACTTAATTGGTAGGGTGCCCAACTCTTAAGAAGGTGTGCCTGTGTTCTCCCTTGTTTGCTAGGATATATAAAAATAAAAAAATAAACCTTGCTTAAAATCTTACACAATGTATAACTATTTGTGTTGGTATTACGCACTCTACTTTTTTCTAATTGCACTTCATTTATCATTTTCTTTTAAAGGAAATAACAAGAAAGTTCTTAAATCCATTAATGCATGATCACTTTATTTATAATCTCATAACTACCCTTTATACAACTTTAACTTTTTTTTTACTTTCTTTACAATTTTTTTTCCTTTGTTTTTGCTTTTTCCTCTCAAAGAAAATAATTTATTACATACTAATAATTTTATTTTTGGCAGTCAAAAGGGATAGTTTATTCTTTTTTATTTATTTATTTATATATATATATATATATATATACAATCGAAAGAGATCGATATTTATTCAACAAAATTAACTTTTTTCACTCCCGTCAAAAGAGGTAACTTTATTTTTTGGTAAGTCAAAATAAATAATTTATTCCATAAAAATAACATTTTTTTTTTGGTCTCATCAAAAGTGATCATTTATTCAATAGACAGAATTTTTTTTTTTTTTTTTTAATCATCTTCCTTTTGTGTGTATATATATATATATATATATATATATATATATATTGGGGATCTTGACAATAGAGATAATTTCTTCAATAAATATATATTTTTGATGTTTTTTTTTCATGTTAAAAGAGACAATTTTTTTAATGGTTACTTTTTATTTTTTTGGTATGGTAAAAAGAGGCAATTTATTCAACTTAACAAAAAAAAAAAAAAAATTGGTCCTTTGAAAAAAAATATTCAATTTTAATTTTATTTAATTTTATTTGTGTTATTAAAAAAATAATTTAAATATTAAAGATTAGAAATAAGGAGAGAAAGTTTGAAAGGGCAGTTGTGTCATTTAAAAAGTAATAATTATTTACTTGTAAAGTTAAGGTTATAATTGTCATTTCATTTAAGATTGTAGTGCAAATATTGAAAAGTATAGTATGGCCTCCTTAATTTTTAGGTATACATAAATAACCTTGAGCAGTTTTTTTTGGTTGTAAATCATATACTTAAAATTAGGGGTCACGTGGAAGAGTAAAAAGCATAATTTAAATATCTAAAACATCTATATAAACAATTGTTATTATATATATTAAATTTGCGTTTGGAAGCATGAAATCAATATTATAGAATTGAAATTGGAAGAAAATATTAACAAATTGATCAATTTTTTCCTCTAATTCTAAATCCAAACCATTGATTCAACAATTGCAAACAAACGTAAGAATATGTTTATTCTTTTTCTTTCTTTCTTAAAAAGTGCAAGAAATAGATCATGATTTTATTTGTACTAGAATAATTCACGTAAGGAAATAAATATTTTATATTATAAATAAATTTTCATCTAAAAAAACTTCAAAAAAACATAAATTGGAAGAATTCAAAAAGAAGAAAAAAATCAATTCAAAAGGTGCCATATTGCACTTTATGGTCTAGGCAACAAAAGGTGATCGTTTTACTAAACTTTTTTTCCATTGAAGGACTTGCACCACGTTATCTTTACTGCATACCCAACATATACCATAATACAATTTCTTTGCAGACTTCTAATAACTTTGAAAATTATATAATCTAACTATATCTATATCTATAAGTAATTTTCCTAATTTCTTAATATTTTCTATTTTTTAAAATACAAAAAGTTGCATTAATTGTGCTTGTATTAATTTTCAACCATTTTTTAAAAATCTATAAAGTTGCAATAATTGTTTTTGCATTAATTTTCAACCATTTTTTTCAATCATTATAAAAAATGTTAAGAAAATAAATTCTCTTCTTTCTTAGCCAGCAACAGCCACATGTGACTGTTCATCTCTCTTAAACACACACAAAAGGATTTTCAATTTTTATATGCTTTTTTTTCTTTTTTTGTCGATATCCATATTACGTGTCAGGAGTTGTTTTTTTTTTTTTTTTTTTTTTTTGTCAATATCCATATAAGAACAATGCTTGCCTTAGAACGGATAAGAAACAACTTCCTCCTTATGATGAGATGGTCTAATAAAATATCAACAACTGTTAAAGTTTTAAAAAAAAAAAAAATGATGACCACAGTAAATAAAAACTGATTCTTCCCTCTTTCTCTCTCACGCAAACAAAATTACTTCTGCATTTTAAATCTAAAATCAAACAAACAAAATTTAGAGACAATAAACTCTAAACCTAAAAATTAATTTATCGATCTACCCCTGATAAATAATTAAAACCCATTCAGCATTTCACAATTTTTCCTTCTCATAGTTCAAGAAATGGCTCCTCTCCCTCTCCCTCCTCCTCCCCTTTGCCATCCCCCTTTGACTATACCAGCTAGCTCATCTCCATTTACCTTTAACCAGCATAGACCACCTCATCTGACTAAAACCGGCTCAGGTCCTCCCCACTCGAAATCTAAACCACCTATTCACCCATCAACCAAGCTCGCTCGTCAGATTAGCTTAACTACAAAGCATGGTAAACCTCATAAACCCACTAAATCGATTACTCCCCCCAAACCCACTGTACCGTTTACCACACTTTCCTCATCCACAGCTGAAGATGATCTATTAGGATTCAAGCCCAGACCTCCTTCGGTCAGTGTTGTGCAACATGCTGTGGATAAGTTGTGGAAGAACAGAGGGTTGCAACAGGTGTATGGTGATGGAAATGGTTGCTTCTATTTCAGATTTGCAGATGAACAATCTATGGAGGCAATTCTTACATCCGGTCCCCATTCTCTTGCTGGAAGAACCTTGCAACTTCAGAGATGGAATCCCAACTGCACCTTTGTGAAGCAAAACAGCCATCTTGTCCATGTGTGGGTAAAATTCTTTAATGTTCCTCTGTAATATTGGATTGCTAGAGGACTGAGCCATGTTGCTAGTGCCATTGGAAGACCACTGCATGCTGATCCGACCACGGATGGGAGGGAGAAGCTCAGGTTTGCTAAGATATGCATGGAAGTTGACCTAAATTCACCTCTGGTACGTTCTTTCCCTTTGATTACTGGGGATGGCAGGACATATGAAATCTCTGTGGAATATCAAAGCCTCCCAAAATTTTGTACAATTTGTAAGAGGGTGGGTCATCCCTCTTTCATTTGCCCACTTTCAAAATCTCCACCTACAAAGAACATATCCAAGCATCCCTCTTCTGAGTGGACTGTTGTTCCTCCTCGTAGACAGCGGTCACGCTCTCCTCAGCATCCGGACAGGAGTCATGATCATTTGCCGTCACTTGTGGTTTCTCCAGACAACATCACTGAGGAACATACAACACCCCCAGTTATTCTCCCTGCTTCAACATTATCTACTACAGGAGTACAGGCTTCTCTCTTGGAATACTCTTCCCCATCTAAAAACATCTCTCTCATTCAAGCTAAAAAGAAAGCTAGAGCTAGCTTTGGCCACAGGCTGTCCACTGATGATCCACAAACCTCATGCAATGTGCCAAATTCTCACCCTCTGATTCTAATGAATAAATTTTAGCCCATTGCTAAGGATATGCAGCCTAATCTTGTTGATCTTCCCCAGGATGATTCTGGATAAGCAGACACAGCCTCTTCTTCCCAAAGTCAGACCTGTTCTGTTAATTCAAAAGGGAAGAAACATTGCATCAAGAAATTGAAAAGGGTGAATGGTTTTTCGTTGCATGTCTTTCCTTTCAAAGGGATTAGACATCTGAAGAGTGTCCCCAAATCCCTTCCTAATGGTCAATCTAGCATCTTGGAACATTAGAGGCTTGAATAGCCTCCCTAAGCAGCTTCAGCTGCGTGATTTAATAAAGTCTCAGAAATTAGATTTTCTGGCAATTCTGGAAACAAGGGTTTCGTTAACTAATATGAGTTCTATTCATAAGTTTGTTGCTCCTAAGTGGTCCATAGAGCATAACTATGACCACTCTGTCCTGGGGAAAATTTGGGTCCTATGGAACCCAAGCAAAGTGAGAGTCTCTGTAATTTTTACCAACTCACAGATGATCCACTATTCTGTAATTCTACCCGACAATAATCATTGCTTCATCTCTTTTGTGTATGGTGCAAACACTTACATTCTTATGAGGGATCTATGGTCTGCAATCAATCACCATTTTGGTCTTATTAATGGTGCTCCCTGGCTGCTCCTTGGTGATTTCAATGTAATCTCTAACTGTCAGGAGAAATTTGGTGGGGCTAGAGGGTCAATTGCAATTGATGATTTCAATGAATATTTAATGGATTCTATACTGGAGGATCTAAGGTTCTCAGGTATCCAATACACTTGGAATAATAAAAGTGGAGGGTGTGCTAATATTGCAAAGAAGCTTGATAGAGCTCTTATTGATGTGGAATGGTCTATTGCTTTCCCTATGTCTGATTGTGTGTTCCTTCCACCTGGCATTTTTGATCATAGCCCTATTCTTATTAGGCTTCGGTTCCCTCCTCAAAACCTGAAAATCCTATTCAGATACTTTAATGCATGGGCTGACAACCCCCAGTTTCTTACTATCGTTGAGGAGGTTTGGGCTAATCCTAT